TATCTTTACATGCCAAAAAATACCATTGGTAAATATTTCTTGTTGATATTATAATCATCAGTGAAATATCTACATGTGAAGATATTTAATGATAGCTTCAAATGTGAAAGTATTTAATGATAGCTTTACATGTAAAAATAACACCCTTGTTATGAATTCTTAGTAAATTGCATCAAAATAGCGAAAAGCAATCACTTATAGTAAATTGAAAAAAATTGTATTTCATCTATTATAGTACACTCAACAAAATTGCTCGACTCTGATTGGTCGAGAGGAGTACAATTACAGCGTTAATTGTACTCCGTAGGAGTACCGAATTAAGTCGCTATGGAAACACGGCCAAAACAATGTCAACAGCGGCCAAAAAAAAAAAAAAAGTCGTAAAAGCTAATAAGAACTAATCTTTTTTATGCATTTCAGTTGCGCGATGGACTGAAAATCGGACACCAAATAGACAAAGATGAACGGCGTCGCTTCGCATTTTTTACTGAAATTTTGTTGAGTGAACTATAAACAAAAAATCGCACGATCTTCTCGTACAATTTGGAATTAATAGACATTCGTAATGTTTTGAAAGTTCTTGTAATTGCGCGAGCCTTTAGGCGTGTCTATTGATTTCCAAATTGTACTCGAGATCGTGCGATTTCCTATACTAATTTTATATTAAACAGAATACTACCATACATAGCCACTCGGAGATATGGCTTTTATCTTCTCTTGCGTCAACGCTTGAACATAAAATCTGTATCTCTGCACAGCTATGCAATATCCTCTATGTCTTCATGATGACCAAGGCAAAGGTTTCAAACCATTCGAAATTATTTTTTGATTAAAATTTGATTCATATTTTCAGGTTTTTTATCCTGGTTTCATTAGTTTCATTAATTAATAACAACCGATGCAGATTCTTTTGATTGCATCAATCAAGAGTTTTCCATGACAACGTTGCCAAAAATGTACCTGATGAATTGTCATGGAAATGCCTTGATTCAGTGACGTCCACCAAAACCTACTTCATTGCGAGGGCAATTTATAGCATTCTGTACATGTTGCTTTCAACAAGTATAACAAGAATATTTCACCATAAAAATGTAATTTTTTGTCTTTAAAGACAATTGTGAACACCTAAAATATGTCTGGAATGTTAAAGTGCTACACGACGAAAATCGCTCAAACTTGGATTCAGCTGAAACTTCCTAATAATACTCTTTAAAGGTCCAATAATCACTGTATGAAGTGTTTTCTCGATATTCAGGACGAAAGTATGATGTTTTTA